GCTTTGAGGTGTTGGACCAGGGAAGAGGTCGGTTCTTCTTTTTTGATCGAGTTCTTATGTTCTTCAACGCGTGCACTTATTCTCCTGTTAGTTTGTCCAATGTATGTGGTGGGGCAGGCGGTGCAAGGGATTTCGTATACTCCTTGGTTTTCTAACTCGATTTTGTCTTTAGGGTTTCTTAGGATGGTGGATATTTTTCTGTTTGTGCAGAATGCTGTTTTAATGTTGTGTTTTTGGAGGATCTTGCTGATTTTGTCTGTAGTGCCTTTTATATATGGGAGGAGGGCTTTGCCGTTCTCTTGTTCTCTGTCTTGGATTTTGGTTGGGGTTTCTTTTTGGATTAGGTGGGTAATCTTCTTTCTTTGGAATCCATTGGCTGTTAGTACGTTGGTGAGAGTGTTTAGTTCGGTTTTTAGGTGTTGTTCATCAGCTAAGCATTTTGTTCTGGAGATGAGTGTCTCAGCTACGGAATTGATCTGTGCTGGGTGGTGGTGTGAGAGTGCATGTAGATAGCGGTTTGTATGTGTTTTCTTCTGGTAGATGGTGTGTCCTAGGGAGCCATTGGGTTTTTTGTATACCAAGACATCTAGGAAGGGAAGTTGATTGTTAGCTTCTGTTTCCATGGTGAATTGTATTTTGGGGTGTAGGCTGTTGAGGTGTGTGAGGAAGTTGTTCAGTTTTTCTTTCCCGTGTGGCCAGATTATGAAGGTGTCATCTACGTATCTGAGCCAGAGTTTGGGTTTGTGATCATATTTTTCTAGAGCTTGTGTTTCAAAGTGTTCCATGTAGAGGTTTGCGATGACAGGTGAGAGGGGTGATCCCATGGGTGCTCCTTCTATTTGTTTGTATTTTTGTCCGTTGTAGGTGAAGTATGTATTGGATAGACAGTGGTTGGTCAGATCTAGGATGTGCTGAGGGGGGTTGTATTTGTTTTGGATGGCTGTCAAGGCTTCTTTTATTGGCACTTGGGTGAAGAGGGATATGACATCGAAGCTCACTAGTAGGTCGCTGGGTTGTAAGTTTTGTTTCTTTATGATCTCGATGATCTCTATGAATCCATAGAGATAGAAAAACGCCCACACAGCATGAATAAAAGAGATGACACCTCCCGCTTACCAGCCATTTGGAAACCCGCCCTCATGAACAGACGAGTACCTAACATGATGAATGACACCAGACCCACACCCACGAGGGCCACACAAGATGCCACCACCACACTTCCACGTAAAAAGCAGACTCACACCCACACAGAAGATGAGACACGACCACAGACCAGAAGCCGCACTGCAGTTGCATCACTACCCACTTCAACCCCCCCTGAGCCATACATGAAGCGAACTGACCCCCACCATGAAGATGCAGCACGACCACAAACTCAAAGCCAAACAGCAAGATCGCAGCTCACCAGCTCAAATCCCCCAGTAACTAAGACCAACCTGAGCACAACCAAGCCCCCACCTGAACAGAACACACCTCCAGCCAATCAGAACATGGCCAACCCCCCAACCAATCAGAACACAGCCAAACCCCCAACCAATGAGAACACACCCCCACCCAATCAGAACACAGCCAAGCCCCCAACCAATCAAGTCACACCCCCACTAGCAGTTAAAAGGAAGAAGCAGCTGCAAGCTCACATCACTCTGAGAAGCACAGAGCTGAAGACAGAAGCCTGAAGATGATGAATGAGACTTCATCGAATGTTTTATATTGTTATTTGTATATGTCTTTTGGTGTTGTTCAGTTGTATGTTGTGAAAGAGCACCTTATTTTGTTGTTCTCAGGTTCTGAGTACAATGACAATAAATTTATCTATCTATCTGTTACTGCTGTTGAGCCTGGTTTCACCCATTCTATATGTGTACTTTTGGTTTGTTTTGCCTAAGTGCAAGACTTTACTTTTCTCTACATTGAATGTCCTTTTGTTCGATAGGGCCTAGAGTTCAAGTCTGTCAAGATCCATCTGGATCTTGAGCCTATCATCTAGAGTGTTGGCTATTCCAGCTTAGTATCATCTGCAAATTTGGTAACTTCCCCTTCTGCTCCCTCATCGTAAATCGTTTATGAAGATACTGAAGAGTACTGGGCCTAAGTTGGAACCTTGTGATACCCCACTGTTTACTTCCCATCATATAGACTAGTACCAGTCAGCCAGTCACAAATCCATCTTGTGGTGATGCTATCTATCCCATTTTTTTCTAGCTTACTAAGAAGTAGGCTGTGGTCTACTTTGTTGAATGCCTTGCTGAAGTCTAAGTATATTATGTCCACAGTATTTCACTGGTCCACTAATTTGTAAAAAAAAACAAATGTACATGATTGCTGCAGTAATAAGGATGAAAGAAAGTTATTGCTTTATGGATACAATGAGAAAAAGATACTTTCAAATTATGAAATCAAATATATAAATAAATAGGATTCAAAGAGGCTGAGAAAATAAGAGATTTTGTTTACAGTATGGGGAACTATTACTTTTTTTTTTTTTTTACAGCGTAAGCTCTATTGCAAAATATAGATATGTGCAATGATACCCTAATAACAATCAAATTGATTTTGGGGACCAAACTGAAATTTACTTCAAACATTAAAATCATAATGTCTCCTTGAAAATCAGCAAAAATCTTGATATGTATTGTAACTGTAGAGTTACTTGGAGTGAACGAAGCAAAAAATAAAAAGGCTTCAACATCCAAATGTACCCACTGATAGCAGTGCCTTCTTACTGATTTTGAACAAATGCTTATCATATCTCTAAGAAAGAAAGCTAGCGAATATCAGTGAAGTTTCTGAAATTCTGCAATGTATTACTTCAAAATCTTTCTGCCAGAATATTGTGATTTAAGTACCTATTTCTATTTCCTCTTTAATCCTTTCTACCATGGCATTTTCCTACTTTTGAAATGTTTGGATAAAAATGTAATTATTCCTTCATCCCCGTATATCCATAAATGAATACTAGTGTTTTATATATATTTACATTTGGGCTTGGTCTGCTTTAAAAGAAAATACTTTAATTAAGATATTATTTGAATTGAACCCTAATTAGTCTAATTCAGTTCTGTTCAGGTTTTGAGCAAACGATATCTTTAAAGTTATGTAGAATTTCATTGGTACTATTTGTGCAGTTACTATCCATGTCTGTGGCTTGTGCAAAATCACTAATTAATGTGGTCATAGTGGTTGCCTTTGTTAACTTTACACGGTCAGGTATCATTATTTTCTGATCTGAATACATTTTTTTCCATTTATTCTGTTCCCAGCACTCTGAAAACTATTTGGAAATAAAAAGAAATATATCAAGTGTCTACTATTCAGGGAGAGGCATAGTGGGAGTTATGAATATACTACTAAAACTCTTGTCATGATCTTTAACTGAGAAAAATGGTCTATCACATGGCAACAGTTTTTGAACCCAGATACCTCAAATGGCCTAAGATACAGAATGTGTTCAAAATCTGAGACTCATGGCTTCCAAATGAAATTTGGAAAAATTGTGATGCTTCCGTCCTACTGACAGCTGCTCTGTTGCTGGACTGCTCCTTCAGTCACATGATCTTCATTTTCAATGTTCTGTGAAAGTTTCCCAGCCGTCTCACAATCACCTGTTCTCTCTCCCCCACCCAACAGCAGATACCTGCCTGCTGGGAAGGGAAGGGAAGGGGAAAAAGGAAGGAAAAGAGGGTAGAATAGTGAGGAAAGAACCCTTGTATAACCTTCCCGGCACATGCCACTCTCCTGTGCACTCCAATGACGTGTGATGTTCCCCGCTCCATGCAGCACCTCTTGCATGCCCCTATGCACCCTTCCCAGTCTGTGCTGCACCATGTACACTATCCCTGACTCACATAACACCTCTTGTATACCCTCATGATCTTCATCAACATGCACTCCTCCAGTGTTCCTTTCCTGACCCATGTAAAACCTCTTGGGAACCCACACATACTCTTCCCAACCTATGCTAACCCTTTCACGCTGTCTATGACCTGCACAGTACCTCTCATACTGTCAGCTCTGCCTGGCTGAGCTTGTGGGGGTGGGGGGCTCACAGGCATCCTGCCATCAAAAGAAGAAGTGGGGAGGGGAGAATAAAGGGAGGAAAAAGGGGAGAAAGGATGAAAGGAGGAAGAATGAAACGGCAATAACGCTTTGTGTGATAAGAAATTGGGAGGGGAGAATGACAAGTGATAAGGACCAGAGCAGCCAGATCCTGTTTAAACCAGCATCCCATGGTCGGGCACCCTGAGAAATATGCGGATGACTTCCAAACATCTCAGAGTTTTCAAAACATCTTGGCAAGCTCCAGTTGGCTGGAAATGGACTGGTCATCGGAGGAGGGATGGGCTAGGGGCAAACCTACACCTTATTTTTGTATCCAGCAAGCATGGTAATTTCAGAGCTGGCTTGACTTTATTGCAATCAACACTCTTAGCAAAAGAAAGGGATCACATTGCTGCTGCTCTGACATGTGACCAATGTGACCTTGTAAATTTTTCTTGATTCATGTCACCCTCAGGCACTCTTCTTGACCCAAGCTGACTCATTCCACACAGCACCTCTTGTACATCTTAGGAAGCCTTCCTGACCTATGCTGCCCTGTCTCCACAACACTCCCTGACTTACTTGAAATCTGGCACATACCCACAAACTTTTTCCAACTCATAGGGCACCACTTGTGCACCCCCATGTTGTAACATCCAGCCCCCTGCATCCTTACCCTTTCCTCCACCCAGCAGCAACCACTTACCTGCCTGTTGTCTTTGGATTTGCAATTTCCTGCTGGCTTCCCCATTGCCTTTCTCTTTACAAGCTTCCCACAAACGAAGCTGCAGGAATTCTAAGGAGAGAGGGAGGAGGATAAATTGAGAATGGGAGGAAGGGAAGGAAGGGAGAGAGGGAATGTGACTGGAAGGGAAGGGAAGGAAGGGAGAAGGAGGCAGGAAAGGAAGGAAGGGCGAGGGAGAAAGGGAAGGCAGGAAAGAAGGAAGGAATTATGAAGAAAATCTTAACAAATACTAAAATTAACAATGGAAACATTTCATTAATTTTAGCAGTATGTTTTTTTTTAATCATGAAAAATAATTGCAGGAGCATGTAGTTGTTGAAACATAGTGGAGATGAGAATAGAATCTAATTCAGCATTTCTGGAGAAGATTTTAAATTTAAATGTTTGAAAAAATGAAGTTAGAACTGATTAGATTATGTTCATAAATTAGGCTTCGGATTTATTTTATTTTATTTATTTATTAAATTTCTTTGCCACCCATCTCACCAGAATGAGTGGCTAAATTAATTTTAGTATTAGTAGTCAAATATTTATACAAAATGAATACATTGCCTTAAAATAGCATTCTGTACACATATCAGGTATAATATTAAATCATGTTGTAACCAATACAATTTCATATTGTAGACTTAACTAAACATGCAGAGGTTACAATAACTGAAAGTTCTGAAGATGACTATCAATATGAAGAGGTAAGAACCTAAAGTAGCACTTTATGCACATGAAGCTTCAATCCACTCTCTGATCTTGCTAAATTAATCCTCTCTTGATAAATTAATAATAAATAGATCTCCCTCTCCATATAAAAGTAGTGTTACGAAGTTGAAATTTATTTCCTGTTCTAATTGGAAATGGCTTTTTAAGACTTTTTTTTTATCAATGTGAACATTTTAGTAATCTTCAACCTTATACAGAAGGATAAGAAAGGGAAAAACATATCAGCAGTTGTTGTGTGTATCTAAAGATGACCACTGAGCATTTAAGTTTACATATGGAAAGGTAGTATCAGTGGGGAAATGGAATTTAACTGCTATTAAAATGTCATTATTGTCAATACTTTTATTTGTTAATAAAATATAATAGTAAATTATTGAGAAATTTTAATTTGTGACAAAAGATTAATTTGCTTATATGTGAAGATAAGCTGATGAGGATTCAACGATGCTAAATGCAAGCTGGAAAACAAATAGGTGGCTTGTCAATTCACCACCTTGAATCCTATTACCAAGCCACATTATCAAAATGAATATTTTAGTATCACTATCTAAATTAGAATTATTCAACTCTGAAACGGGAGGAGTTTAATATGAATGGGCAAGGAAAATAGACCATTTCACTAATGGAAAAACTAATTTATTTATTTATTTAGTTTTATTTGTCAATTGCTTACAAGATAATAGGTATAAGTAAAAACATAGTTATGAATACATGGATACATATAAGAAAAATAAATATATATATATATAAAAGAAACAATAGGACAGGGACGGTAGCACATTGGTGTGCTTATGCATGCCCCCTTCTGGAATAATTCTGGAATAAAATTAGGAAGAGCATGAACCCTGAGGTTTTCCTGTTAGAATAATAATTAGGCATGAGAATTTTGATTAGATGCATCAGATTTCAGAGCCCAGGACCAATATAAATTGGACAGGATTATTTCTTTTTACAGAATTCTATTTTTTTTTCACACCAATTTGGCCTTCATAATGGAAGTCAAGCACTCACTTTGGTTTTGGTGTCTACAAATTAAAGAGTTCCAAAATTGGAATAAATAAGAATTTTTCAGTGTTTGCTCAATGGAAAGCTATTATTAATATGCCAATAATAAAAATATTGGTTTATTAAATTATATGACAAGAAAGATGTTCAAGGGTAAATCTAATTTTATCAAATTAATGGGAAAACATGGTAGGAAGAAATTTCTCAATCTGTTAAAAATCAGTAAAAAATTTACTCAATGAAGAAAATAATGATAAGTAAGCAGAAAAATACAATACTTTATGGTATTTTATGTTTGAATCATATCTACTCAGCTGCAAAATTCAAATGCTGAGTATGTCAAGCTTGCAGAGCTCAGATTCTTCATATATTACAGATTTGTAATATACATTATTACAAATATATATTATTTGTAATATTCAAATTTTTGTTGCATATACAAACAATTGTTGCATAGCTATTACGAATGCAGTTTGTAATATAGCATGGAAAAATCCAATTTCAACCTGTATGATCGTTAATTTTAATAGATTCTAAAAGAACTCAAACCTTCTCAAAATAATGTTGATCATGATTTTTTAGAAAAGTCAAGGTTGACAGATCAAAAGGGGAGATTTATTTGTTTTGAGCTTTGAATCAAAAAGGCTTCCTTCAGAATCCTTAATTAGAATATTCTACATTAGCCACGTTTCATACAAAACTGGAAAAAAAATTCAAGTGGTTCTTTCCCCCCCTATATGGAATAGTGTTTTTTATGTTCAAATTCAAGGAGTTTTAAATGTATTGGGAACATTAGGAACTCAAAACATTGGGAATTCCTACATTCTTATTTTTCATCCTTAGGCTACAAATGGTGGGAAGCTATTGCATAGTCATTATTGCTTACCATCCAAACAGCAGACAACTTGGTCAGGACTTTTTCTTTTTAAAACAGCATGCAGCCTGAAATCTGTCAGAAACAACATATCCAAAAAGAAAAGCAACATAGGATTTAACAAGCAGCTTAAATCCTCAACATCAGTAAAAGCATTCACAAACGGCAGACTCCAAAACTCATTCGATAAATAAAAATATATAAATTTCACATGTTATAGGTAACAGGCAGTTGTTACTAGCAATACTTCTTTAAGGTTTTTTAAAATCACTTAAATTATGTCTTGGTGCAAAAAATCCCAATAGCAAAGATGGTTTAATTTTTTAATATCAAAATTAAAAAAACACTGAAACAAACTTAATGATCTTATGGAAAAAGAAGAAATGTTTACAAGAGTAAAAATACGTTTGATATGTTTGCATCACTTTTTTTAACTTATTAAAATTCTAGGCTACCCATCTCCCCTTCAAGGTGATTCTCTTTTCCTTCTTTGCTGTTTACATTATTTTTAAAACTTAAAACAAACTTCTCTCTTATTGATGGTGCAGTTCCAGGGTTGGCATAATTTTGGAAATTTATTTTAGAGGTCTGAAGTTTCACTGGATTTCTTTTCTGGCAGGTTTTGGCTATTCATTATTTTTTCAGTGACAAAAACAGACTGCACAAGTTGCCAAATGCAAACATCTTCTCTTCTACATAAATAAACTCTAAATATAATCTTCCCTGTTTAGAAATTGCTTTCCTGGATTCCAGACAAAGAATCTTTCCTAGATCAGATATTTATATCTTATTTGAGCGACATATTAGAGCAAGGGTGTCAAACTCGTGTCGTCATGGCAGCATCACGTGATGTAGCGTGACTTTTTCCCCCTTTGTTAAGCTGGCCGTGGGTGTGATCAGTGCGTGACGCATCTGGCCCGCGGGCCATGAGATTGACAGCCCTGTGCTAGAGCCTGAAGCTGAATTCTAACATGCACAGAATGATACCTTCTCTATGTGAGCCCTGTTATAGCTCTGTCTAAAAGAGTTTGTGATGCTTAACACTGAAATATTTTCCCTCTTCTCAGTGAAGCTATTAATTTTAGATCTATTTATAATTTGACTTAGATTCCCACAGATGAAGATTTTAGTCTTCTGGAAGGCGATGAAGATCTGGCAAAAGCTTTACACACAATGCACGAACAGACTATTGATGCCCAAATTATGGTAAATATCTTATATATCATGATATATGCTATGCTAATTTGCATGAGTTCAAAATAAATAAAGTAATAAAATAATATGAATTTTTTTTTTTATAATTGACTTGAGAAAATAATCAGTTTGTATGAGTTCAACTATTAGACTGGGTCAGATTGCCTAAGACATTGGCATATGGATATTTGATATTGCCCCCTTTTTTCTTCAGATGTCTGAATTTCTCAGAGATGTCCATAACAAAAAATAATATATATATACTACAATGAAGTATGGTATTAGATTTGTATTCATCAAACCAACACAGACACTTCCTCCATACTCTTACATAAGATCTATTCTGTCCCTTACAAGGTAATCAAAAAAGTAGGACTACTACATTTGGTCTGTTAACATTGTGATAGTACGGGGGGGGGGGGGGGGGAAGCCATCTAATCTAATTCTTTGCTGCCATCTAGCTGTTCCCAGACTTGTAGGACAGCGTCATATAGGAGAGGAGTCAAAGGAATAAAAGGTAATCCTATTAGAAGGTGAACAAGGATGGAGAACAATATTTAAAATATTCATATCATAGTATCCAACATCATTCCTGATATTTGGCTACTCTTTGACAAAGTTAATTTCCAGACTATTGCACATATAGTTGTTAATCACAGTTCATTGAGATACATTCATGACTACTGTATCTTTATGAAATTACTCTAAAAGGCTGCTTGATAAGAAATAAACTATCATTAGCCTATATATCTTTCTGTAATGTACAAAAAAGTAGTCTGTGATTTAAAAAAATACTTTTCTAAAACAGGGAAATGTCTGATGAGGCAGATAGTGTTTCTAAAATGTCTCCTGAATTTTTCTTTCTAGGCTCAACGGCCAGGCCAGATCACTAAACAATCTTTGTCTGAAACACCTGAAATTGTAGATGACTTTCTTTGCAATTTTTTAATCAGAATGGGAATGAACAGGACATTAGACTGCTTTCAGACTGAATGGTAAATCTTTCTTAATTAAATAGATCTTGTATTTCAAATTACTGTTCTGTTTTGAAACTTGGAATGTTACTTTTTGTTTTTGTTTCTATAATTTCATATTGGGGATATTTTTCTCCTTGTAAGTTTTAAGTAGGCCATTAATTAGAAATCAATATTTTAAAATGTCAAGTCAATAAAAATATTTTTAAAGGTCAAACCATCATCCCTCCTGCTTAAAATTTAGTTCCATTCTTCCATATCCTAAGATGGATGGTTAATCTGGACTGTAAAGTCTAACACAGTCCTAAAATAACCCTGTTCATCCATAAGTTTATGCAATGCAGAATAGAAAACTGGAACTAATAAAAGTGCTGCTTAGACTGGAGATTTTCTAAATTGCAGCACCAGTCTAATCCGTTTTAGCAGGAAAAATGGCCAGCTGTAATTGAGGGGATGTGAGATGTATGTACACTGTGCCTGTACACTGTGCCTGCCAAAGGGGAAGAAGGGTGGGTAGATTTGGAAATTAGGAGTTTCAAAAGAGCTTGATGCTAGCAGAAAAAGGATAGCAAAAAGAGGATTGGGAAGATTAAGAACAAAATATGAGTAGCTATAATGTTTGAAGACTTCAGAGAACTCTGTGGGAGAAAGTTGTGTTTTCCTGCTAGAAAACAGGAGTCCATGAGTTCTAGTCCTGCCTTAGCCATGAAATCCAGCTTGGTGATGTTGGGCCAGTCACTGTCTCTTAGCCCACCCCACCCTACAGGTTTGTTGTTCTGGAGAAAATAGGAGGGCGGAGGAATATTGATAATATTCACCACCTGGAATTATTTGTAAAAATAAAAATGGGATACCAAGAAGTGATACAACTATCTTGGCAATTTTCTGTGCAACAGGAAGCCATGGATCAATAAATATGTATTATTCCAAAATATGTATTGGTCTTTATTTCCAATAAGATTATAGTATGTCTATTTTCTTCTTTTATAATCTGATACATTACTGCATTCTGTAGATATTTGACTGGTACGTCCTATCCATGTTCTTTCTCTTGACCTCTCAAAAAATAATGAGAAGTAACAGTTATTTCATTGTACTCAGGGTATTAAGTTAAGGCATGGAGTTCTGTTTTGGGGGGGTAATTTCACTTACCGTGAGAAATGTAGTTCTGAACTATAGGAGCTCCTATTTAAAGTAACCACAATCAAGAAAAAGAGTTCGTGCTGTTCTATGTTCTATGTTATGTTCTATGTGTTCTATGGTATATGTACTCCTTATAACCAAGAGGAGTGAAAAAAAACTAAAGTTCAGTTGTTTAATTTTAGGTATGAATTGATGCAGAGAGGTGTGCTTGAACCTAAAGATGTTGGATTTGTTCCAGATGCCTATACTTGCAATCAGCATTTGGAGAGGGAAAATATAAGTTTGAAGAAAGAAATGGAGAACTATAAATTTGCAGCTAAGTATGTTCTTGTCATTATTGGGTTACATTTCTTTAGGAATTTGGATGAAAAAAAAAATACTGATATCAGATTGTAGAAGGTATCAGTTTTGAATGGCAGTATTGATGTTTGCAAGTCTGGTAAAGAATGGGTTAAATAGCTATTAATCCATCAATACCCAAGTTAATTTATTTCTGCAACGCTGCTCAATTAAAAAGGCACTGAGTGGCTTACAATAATGTAAAAGTGAACTACTGTAGATAGAATTAAAAGAAAAAAACAAACATCAATCCCCACAACAATAATTGCCTACTTCAGGGGCATACAATGCCATACAATGACCTCTCCAAGGACTTCTGGAACAACCAGGTCTCTTAGCTGTTGCTAGTGTGACCCCAGGTAGAGTGCTATTCTAAAGCAGAGAAGCTACTATGAAAAGGTATGTGCCCTTTTTTTTTCTTCACAATAGCAGCCCCTCAAGGATGAACCTCTAAGAGTATCTTCCCTACTCCTTTTTATTGGTTGACCAGAAGCTACTGGGAGATCAAGTGCTTGTAATATTTATTACATTATATACCCTTTATCTATCAGCATTTTTGAAATGAAGATAAAATATCTGTATGCTGAAATGTGTTGAAAAAGTCAAAGTGTTGTTGTTTTTTCACCTGACTCTATGGTCTTTAATGTTCCCTTATCCTGCATTGTTTAGGATTCTATTGGACTTAAAAGTAATGGTAGGATACAGATACATTGCATTACTGGATATAAAAAGACATTGGTGTACTTTATTTTATACTGCATTGGTTTTAATGGAAATGTTTAGAATGGTCAGAATTTTTTCCCCCTGAATTTTAAATTCTGTTAGTATTTGAAATGAAAATGTACATCTTCTATTTATATATTACTGTATGATTACAAAAACCTGATATAATTATTAAGTCAACATAGAGTAACCCTCTATAAGAGTAACCCTCTATAAAATATTAAACATTCATTTTATATCAGAGGCAAAATCCACAATGGCAGTAAAGACAGCAGGAAGTAGAGATGCATTTATTTTGCATCTCTTGTTTTTATTCTTGAGGGCGGGGAACTTGCCTAGGGATATGCCAGCAGCAGCAATAATTTTCTGAAACTGATGGATACTGAAAGCCCAATAATCTGCAAGAAGTTACCTAACTGAGGATACTGATTTTAGGTGCTGTGGTGGTGCAGTGGTTAGAATGCAGTATTTCAGGCTACCTCTGCTCACTGCCAGGAGTTTGATCCTGACCAGCTCAAGGTTGACTCAGCCTTCCATCCTTGTGAGTTTGGTAAAATGAGGAGCCAGATTGTTGGGAGCAATATGCTGACGTTTGTAAACTGCTTACAGAATGCTGTAACGCACTATGGAGCAATATACAAATTTAAGTGCTATTGGTATTTTATTCATAATAAAAAGAATTACTTTAAACCAGTTTTTACATTTAATTCAAGCATAGAAAATTAGAATAGAATCTCAGCATAGAAAATTATTTCCTCTGAAGAATATTGCTAGGAGAGCCAGTTTAGTAGTTAGACTAGAAACTAGCAGACTGTGAGTTCTGGTTTCACCTAAGACACAAAGCCAGGTGGTGATCTTGGGCCAGTCACTTTCTTTCAGTCCTTGGAAGGAAGCAATGGCAAATAATTTCTGAAAAACCTTGCCAAGAAAACTGCAGGGACTTGTCCAGTCAGTCTCCAAGAATCAGATGCAACTGAATGGAAGTAAACTTCTTTTTCTAGTACTCTATTAAGAACCTATGATTGGGTTCTTGTTAAATTTACCTGAATTTAATTCCAGATATGTGTAGGGCTAACTCCCGAAGGAGCCACTGATGACTTTCTATCAAGTCTGCCCATCCCTGATTTTCAGTGAATTGTAGGGCACACAGAGTTCACATGAATAGGAAAAGAACAAAGATGTTAGGCAAAGGCAAGTTCACTCGGTTCAATCATGTCACAAATTTTTTGATAGTAAGTAAAGAAGAAAAATGCAGAGGCTAGCAACAAAATCCATGCAAAAATAACAGAGAACATGCCATATATCTACTGTAGAATATACCATTATATTGTTCTGACCCAACCGGGTTCCCAAAGAGCAAACACAGACAAAGGCAGTAGCCCCCACCTTTTAAGGTTTAATAACGAATTCTGTTCTGAAGGCTGCTTTCCACTAATTAGCTCCGACAAGAAAGAGCCTTGCCAAGTTGTTTGTCAAGGGTGCCAAAAACCCAGAGATAAGAACTAATTTACAAAATTCTCCAAACACGAACTAAGATGTCCACCAGTTGAGTTTAAGAGCTTCTTTGCTGTCTACAAAGAACACTTTTCCAAACCTGGCTTTTATCCTCTTGAGGGAGGGGCCATTACCTTGCAGCCTTACTCCCGAGTCGCCTGTGCTGCTGTAACTGTTCTTTCCTCCAAGCAATCCTTCGTGCACATGCACTTGGCACAGGCTCCTCGGGAACCTCCTCGTCACTGCTGCCAGCCCCCACAATCTCTGAAGGCAGCAGTCCACTCCCTGATAGTCCTGGCCCCTCATCAGTCATCGCTCTCCTCAGCCATCTGCACCTGCTGCCAGCTAACCACAACATATGTACTGTTGACAGAAACAAATGAGGAATGCAAATAACAGGTTAAATGAAACCAGAACAAGCAATAGAGCCAGATCAAGTGCTAATGTGCTTCTTTTATTGGAGATTTTAAGAATATCTTTCTGAGACAGGATGGCTAGTCCTCATGATAGATGCCTTACTTCCCTAAATAATAGAAATATATTTAGAAATCATATTTTTTTTTTGTTTCCATGCAGTAAAGCTAAAGATGCACTGCTAAAAATGCAAAGAGAGCGTGACTTCCATAGAATGCATCATAAAAGAGTAGTCCAGGAAAAGAACAGACTTATTAATGACATTAAAAGGTACATAAATACAAATCTATTTGATACTTGTTGCAACTGCTGCTTTTTGTATAGTTTCCTGACTTGATACAATTTATATAATAGATCTATATGGAATACTCCTAAACGTCTTGCTAAGGCATATGTTTTATCTACACTGATCAATAAATGGATGATGAAAGCTTCTTTCCATGATGTAGGAAATTCTTGATGCTTGGAATCTCGTTCAATACAATTTAATTAAATACAATTTGTATTTAATTCAATACAATTTAACAATTTAATTAAAATTTCTGGAAAAGTTGTGCAATATATTCAGTAGATACTATAATGCCCTGGAACTTTGTTCTGTTTCTGTTTTTTTTAATGATATCTTTATTACAATTTTTTTAATCTATAAGCTTTATGAGTAGTATTGTATTCAAAAGCTCTTTAGTCTTTTCTGCACCAAATATTGTTCACTATGATCTTTAATACCCTGTTTCTCCAACAATACGTCCTCCCCCAATAGGAAGTCCCAGCATGTTTTATAGGCATGAAATGAAATTAAGCCCCTCCCCCCAAATTAAGGCCTATATTAAAACATGCGAAATGGGGGCAATGGTGGGGGGGCTTGCCATTAGGAAGTACTTTTGTTGCACACCCGGATATGGTGCTGCTTGCGTTGACCCCGATACGAAGTGCCCCACCAACGCCGAGGTCAACATCCAAGCCGTTGCCGCCCGCCCGAAGATGCACGGGGGGGGGAAATTAAGTCACCCCCGAAAAGACGGCCTAGACATTTTTTCGGGGCTCAAAAAAAAAATAAGACCCGGCCTTATTATATGAGAAACACGGTAGTATATAACAAATTGCTTCATCATGTACATTGGTCTGCTCCATCCCAAATAGAGGTAACAGTTATTTTGTCCTGCTCCTTTTGCATTGGAAAGGCAACGATTTATCTGACCTTTTTCAAAATATTTCTGTTTAAAAAAATTCAACTTCTTATGGTTCTCATTTACTTCCATTAAATTGAGTTGATTATAAATTTCTTTCATTTTTTGTTTTAAAAATAGATGATTGTTTCATAATTCTAATTGCTTTAGTATGTCTGTTTTTACATAGATTTCTTTCTGTTTTAAGGCAGAAAGATACACATCCTTTCATAAGTGCTTTGCTGGAGTGCTATACTGTAGATAAAAACACATTAGATTAAATTGGTTTGGAAGCTTTTTAATTCTTGTCATTTTAATTTCATATCCACTTGTACTAACACAAATTTGTTAAATTTCCACCTCTTCAATCTGGAGGTTTCTTTGTGTAATAATTGTGTAACAATTATTAAGATAATATTAGGTGTATGTAGCACTGCTACTATCACATGCATGCAGAGGTGGTATTCAGCAGGTTCTGACCAGTTCTGGAGAACTGGTAGCATTTTTTTAAACAAAAAATGAACAGTTCTGGAGAACTGGTAGCAGAAATGAACAGTTCTGGAGAACTGGTAGCAGAAATTTTGAATAGTTCTGAGATCCAGCATATATCACCTCTGACTGGCCCTGCCCCCATCTATTCTCTGCTTCCTGAGTCCCAGCTGATCGGCTGGGTGTTCTTTTGTTGCCCTGCACAGGAGAACGAAGCTGGAAAGCAGGTTAGTGGGGTGGGGAGGGAATGGGGATTTTGCAGTGTCCTTCCCCTGCCTGTGATGACCCATAGTCTCTCAAAATAACCCAAAACTTACATTAAAGTCCGGTAATGCCTTCAACTTAACTTAACTGTTTTATTAGGCACAGTTTAAAGTCACAAAAGTAAATAATGAGGCAAAAAGAAAACCAAAACAAACCCCATTGACGAGAGTTCCGAAGCAAGCCAAGATAGTTAATCATACATTCCAGGAAGATAACTGAGGAGAGTCCATGGGAAGAACGCCAGCAAAGATAAACCTCTTTCAAAGTAAACACTAAACTTTGACTCCAGCAATTCTGACTACGCAGTTACAAAATTATATACATAGCTCCCAGCTGCAAGCCATGAGGAAGATCATGGTAATCTCCTCCTGAGTAGAGCTCGCTTTTCTCTGATCCTCTCCTCCCTGCGTGACCTAGGATGGATAGGGGATGGGCCTGGATCCTCCTCTGATTGCTCAGCCAGCCTCTGCCCTTCCCCAGCCTCCTCCACCACCTCTGGAGCCACAATCCCACTCCCTGTTGGCTGTTCCTCCTCTTCCTTAGAGTCAGTCTCCACCAGGGGCATGACACTGCCATACCCACCAAGCCACGCCCACCAAGCCATGCCCACAGAACATATAGTCAAATTTTTTGAATCTTACCACTGCATGCATGGGATTAATTAATAATATATTAGAAATTTAGCACATGCCTCTTCACATTATAAACTAAAGAGCAGTGTATAAGTTATTTCACAGCAAGATATTTGCATTCAAATACATTGAAAAAAGATAGCAAGGATATATAGCACAGGTGTCAAACTTGCGGCGTCACATTGCCGTCACGTGATATATCGCAACATTTCCCCCCAATATGGAGCTGGAGTAGGCGTGGCCTGCACATGATGCATCCAGTCTACAGGCCACCAGTTTGACACCCCTGAAATATAGAGTAAAACATTATGGGAAAGTTTGCCAGATAAAGATTCCTTTAAAGTAGATTTGTCCATGTTTCAGAAGGAAAACAAACCATTTATATTTCCAAGAATCAGAATATCTTTGCACCATAAAAAGGATTTGAAAAAAAAATATTTCATAGATGTTTATTTTGTTATCATTTGGGGCATAAATTGTATCAATTGGTTTTTTCTCAAATTCAGCCTTAAAATATATAAATTTCCCTGGTTCATCTTGATTTTGTTTTTCAAATTCCAAATTTAAATATTCAAATATATAGCTTATCCATTTCTTCTTATCTGCTTAAGACCACAAATATAAAAGTATTTTCATTCTGACAGCTTTATGGGAATCTTGAAGATCTATAATATATGCATTTTCCTTTTAGACTTTCAAAAAGTTATTTTTCTTTTTAAATTAGCTATTCATACTATTAATATTAGTTGAAAAATAATTTAACAAGAAATAACAGCTACTTTGTACAACTTCGTTTTCTGTCTCTTCTCTGCCTTTACTACCTTACTCTCTCACAGCCAATGACTGGAGTATTCCACTGGCATCATTGGTGGAATATACAAAAGCTTTGCCATCAAACATAAAGACCTATACTATAGATCAGGGGTGTCCAACCTTGGCAACTTTAAGACTTGTGGACTTCAACTCTGGGAGTTGAAGTCCACAAGTCTTAAAGTTGCCAGGGTTGGACACCCCTGCTATAGATGAAAGACAATGGACCTCCATATCAGATTTTTTTTTTTTGAGCCATTGTCAAAAAGCTGTCATTTTCCTTCTTTCTAAGAATATCTGGAGGTACTTTTGACAGAATCTCAATTATTCTGTTTCTGAATTCTAAGGGAGTATTTTTCCCTTTTATTCTAATACCGCTTCTTTTGTCTTGAAATATGTGAATTTAAGAAGGATGTAGCATTTTATTTTTTTCTGTCTATGAATTTATTCTGAAAATCTCTTGTATTTCTAAAATTTGATCAATATTCACATCGGGTTTTGAGTAAATTTCCCACTTCTCTTTCAAAATAATATTTCCCATAATTCTTAAATATACCCCTGGATATGTTTAACTTTTTATGGGGTTGGGGGTTCTCTGAACTGAAAAAACTTTTGGTGTCCATTAATTTGTTGTATTCATCATTAAAGTCACCCTTAAAACCACAAATGTATGATCAAATGTTTCTAAATCTTTTTTTGTTTTTTGTTTTAATTTATTGATAATATTATATTCCAGTATAATGCAATTAATCTGTGAGACTATATTTCACAATAAAGTAAAGCAGGTTGATTGTAACGAATGTGGGATCTCTTCTGTTTTTTAAAATTTTATTTCCTATAATGTCATCTCCTATTTAGAGTTGATAGCTAAAAAGCAATTTTACACCCAGAAACAAAAAATCAATAGACTCAATATTGTATATATAATATACAGTATTATATTGTATATAAGTGGCAGATAATACAAGAAAAAAAATATTGCAATGCAAAAGGTTAGCCTTAAACTCTTAAAAGAAAACATTTAACTATTCTTGAACTTTATACTAAACATCTAAGCAATTCCCCAGTCTAAATGTCTTAATCTATGTTTTGTTTCAAAGTTGAAAACCTTGAGTAGATATTCCTTATGTTGGACTTCCCTCTTGTGGATAGAAAAATCCAATAAAGGTCATTAAAAAGAGGAATGCGTTAAAGTCCCTGTAAACATATAAAATAAAGCTGTTTATAGAAATATAAATCCAGAATAATACAGATAGGATAATAGACTCAGAATCAATTCTTTCAAGACATTGAATAATTATACTAAATAATGCAGTTTTTAAAACAAATCTTTTTGGGTTTTACACTAAGAGCTAAAATAATAGGTCACTACTTGCTGTAAAATCATAAATAATTATCAGAGAAACATGTAAATCTCCTACAAGATGTTGTAATTTTGTGGATTTGCCTATTTGGACTACCTCTCAGAAGAAAATTACTCTTCTCCCAGGTTCTTTACAATTAACAAACATTATGAATGTTTTTTTCTATAGTACAGAAAGGGGAAGCTTAAAATCCACCACTGCCTTCCTAATGAACTGCCATCTTGTTTCCACAACAACAAACTTGTGGTCATAGATAAAGATAAGATATTACATTCTATAAAGATAAAAGAATGACTACCAATAGTACTATTATTACTATTACTATTACTGTTATTATTATTATTATTATAAATTCTGTGAGTAAAATCATAAAGGTGATACTAAATTCTAAGTTAAAAAGTATAGGGTGCAAGATACAGTAATATAAATGTTTATAATAATAATCAATTACATGTCCAAAGCCTAACAGAGATTCACTTTAGCTCAATTTTTGAAAAGTGAACCTCAGTGAATTCTGAGTAATATCTCAGAATTTTCAGTTTACAAATTCCTCCTCTTAATTTCAGTCATACCTTCCAAAAGTTGGATAAAGGCTTTCAAACCACCAGTAGGGTAAGCACATTTGAATCTCTGGGAGAACCTCATTCCTTTATCCCAGGGGTGTCAAGCTCGCATTGTCACGTTGTCATGTGATGTATCGTGACTTTTTCCCCCTTTGCTAAATTGGGGGTGGGCATGGCCAATGTGTGACGCATCCATGCCGCAGGCCGTGAATTTGAGTTTTACTCTATTCCAGAGGATAGCTGCTGCTACAGAGAAGGCATATTTCCAGGGTTCTGACAGATGACATTGTTTAATTGAAAGAACTTGGAGCATGCCAGCATTGCCAGGTGCAGTCAGCAGGACAGATACTATGGAAGACAGGTGGTTCCTCAAGTAACCAGGTCTTGTGCCATGTAGGGCTTTAATAATGACCGGCATCTTGAATTGCACCAAGAAGCAAAATGACAACCAATGTAGCTTACAAAGCAGAGTGTTACATGGTCATACCAGTGGATATTCATCACTGTTGCATTCTAGACCAGTTGAAACTGCTGGGTATTATTCCAGGATAGCCCCATGTAGAGAGCTTTGCATTACAGGTAGTCCTTGATTTATGATCACAATTAATACCAGAATTTTGGTTGACAAACAATATGGTTGTTAAGTGAGTCATACCAATTTGGTTAATGTATAAATAAATTAATGTATCAAAGACCAGGTAATAGATATAGAAAATAAAGCAGAATATAGTGTACCGTATATTTTAAATCTATCATCATTGGTAGTATAATATAGAAATAAGAAGACCAGATAAATAGAATAAATATGTCAAAGTAGGTAGACTATTATGATATACTGGACATAAAAACATATAAAATCTTATATCAGTGTGTTTTAATATTACATGTGTCATTATGAATTTATTTTACAGCTTCTCTCAGATTTTAATGTACAGTACAACTCTTACTCCATTAATTTTAATAAGTGTTGCTCTGATTGATATTTTTGTTGTATATCACTGAAGATGAATTATAAATGCAACATATGATTTCTTTTCATTTTTGTATCAGCTTACAAAATTACCAACAACATGTCCCTTTTGTAAATCCCATATAAAAAGGTTCTACAATCTACTCTTCTGGTCTATTATTCACATGTCCTTTTTAATTATTTAAACATCAGCCAGCTTCATTTGTCAGTTCAGTTTACTTTGTTCCATACCCTTCTTACAGCCTGTGATTTTTTAAATCCACATTTAAGCCAATTTCATTCTTGTCAATTGAAACTTGTTTCTTTTCCATAGTAACATCTAGTCTTTTAATAATGTCAGAAATCTTTAAAAGTATTTTCTGAATCATTTTTTCACATAAGTCCTTGTGTAAAAAATATAAATATTCAGTTTCTCATCAGAAGAGATTTATAATTAATTTCAAATATTTATTCAAAATGTATCTGAACCCTTAATCCATGTTTAACTTTCTAAAAGCAATATTCTAAACACCATTTTTACTGTATTCCAAAAATATTGTTCCAAGTCCTTAAAATCATATTTAAAACTTTCATTGAGGAGATTCAGCCACTGATAACTGTAGAAACTTGCCAATCTGAAGGGTAAGAAACAAAGAATAAAGTTTTTGTTCTTAAAAGGCTGCAGTACGATTGAACTTAGATGGTATCCTGCAACTTTTAGCCATTCAATTCCTAAGCTGATTGTAAAACAGTTACTGCAGCCGACTCATGAGGAGCAGCTGTCTGGGAGTACATACGGGTTGTCTCACAATCTCTCCTTTTTCTGGAGAGATTTCACTGTTAGGATCCAGCATCCACGATCTCCATCATAAAGCCCATGCTGCCCATCCCTTATTGGCAGAACATCTACTGTAGCTTGCTATGATGCTCATCGATCACACCATTGACTAAAAAAATAAATTAATTAACCTCTTGCATTGGAATTGAATACTATTTTTTTTTTATTTTCTCATATGTGGTAACTATTCTATAAACAGTTTCTTGTCTATAGGCTAAAGACACACTATGCATTGTATGAGCCTATGTTAAGACAACTGAATGAAAAGTATGAGGTTCTACTAAGAGAGAAAATGCTTACAAGTTTGGAACGAGACAGAGTTGTTGGGCAGGTAAAGCTTACGGCAATTTTAACTTACATTTTTATGGAAACCATTTAAAATATTATATTATTTAATTTAATGTTTTAGGTAAAGTTTTATTCTGTGCCATTCCTCATAATTCAAGGTGGGTCAAAGAAACAAACCAAAGTTAAACAAATGCACATCAAAGAGTTTGTTTGTTGAATGTGGCATTAAGTACACCAAGAAGTACGATTTGGGGAAGGAGAAGAAAACCAGTTGAAATACACTAATGGCCTTTTGTTTACAATTGTAGCCTCCCAGGCTTTTATTTCTTTATGTGAAGTGAAATTTTATAATTTGACATTTTAAAGCAGAATTCTTATTAACGGTAATAATAATAAGAAATTATATTGCTTTCTTGGGTAGAACATACACATTTCTTTTCATCTTAGTTCTTAGCATCACAACTAGCTATCAACCTGTATTATTAGAATGTGCTTATGTGTGTATATATGTTTATGAAAACACATGAAAGTCATGGGTTGTTCATAGGGCAAATATTGTTTCCTATTACCACAGTTATGTCGAATGCAAAATCCATAAATCCAAATCCATAAATCCAGAGAAAAGCTGCTGCTAATTATCATTCATTTCACTAAGCCTCTTCTATCATTCTTTCCATTCCTTCCACTGAGGCTTCAGGAAGTTTTGATGAAGTGAATGAAGAATTCTATTCTTGAAGGAAAGTATTTTGAAACAAATTATGCTCTATTGTAAGCAGAATATTATTTTAAACATCAAAGTAGAATTCACTGTTCTCTATTATGGTTTGATTGAGGTATAAACTAATTGAAATAACTTGAAATATATTAGGTATAAGTGGCATCATTTTGAGATATGATGTGAAGGAAGGGGTGAGGACATTAATATAATAGTACAGAATCATCAAGTTGGAAATGACTGTTTAGTCCATCAAGGCCAAAGCCTTATTCAGTGCAGGAATCCAATTAAAACATCCTAGACAAGTGATTAATTAGATTCTGCTTCAGTGTATTCAACGAATGGGAGCCTCTCACCACACTGATTAACTGTGATTACTGTTTCTAATTTTCAGTCAGAAACGGCTACCTTATAATGTAAACTGACTATTCCATGTTCTGCTTTCTGGAATTAGAACAAACAGGTATTTCTGATATTTGAAGAGCTGTTGAACATTTGCATCATCTTTTGCATCTTTGCATCTATAAGCCTATTTGACTGCTAAGACAAACTACCATGTTAATTTCTGGTAATTGCGTATTTTTCATGGTGTAGATTCAGGCATATGGATTGCTTTATGATCTGATCTAAAATGTTCTTAATATATCAATACCTTCTCAATATCAGAGAGGATTTTAGAATAGATCATAACCCAAATTACTGACTGATCAGTTTTTTGTTTGCTGCATCTTTTTCTTTTCCCATGTTGAAGGCAGAGACATTTGCTTCCATTCAGAAGTTCTTCAGTGTTCTTCAACATCTTCATAAATGATCTAGAGCAACCCAGACTGTTCCTGACTGGGCTGCGCAAGAAGTGAGCACCCTGTGCATTCAGTTCCACTTGCACGAGCAGCGGTTGATTGCCCTTGCATCACTCGCACAAATGGAGCTGTGCACATGTGTATGGATGGGCCTGCCACTCACATAGAACCATCCCCTCTCCCTGCTGGAATGCCAAGCTGGAAAGGTTGGGGACCGCTGACCTAGAGGAGGGGATTTACTGGACAATCATTTGTCTGGGATGGAATCAGGACTCCTGCCTTGGGCAGGCAGGTTTGACTAGAAGCTCCCAAGGGACCTTCCAGCCTTATGATTCTATTTCTATTCAGTCATGTGCACAATTCTCCAGTTTTCATAAGAGTTCAGTCACTATCACCTAGTTCCCTCAGTATCTTAAGATGCAGTTCAACTGGTTCAGTGAGTTAACATTTTAACTCTTTTCAATTTTTAACTCTTTTCGATGTCCTTAGACTCTCATTTTAACTCTTTTCATTTTTAACTCTTTTCAATGTCCTTAGACTCTTTAAGGGATGTCAAACAGAAGATGCTCTTTATCATCTGAAAATTATGATATAGAATAATATATAGAATAAATCAACAAAGATGTTTTGACTAAGTATTAGAAGAAGTTTCTAACAGAATCGTTTGACAATGAAGCCAATTACAGATAGAAGAGGTGATCTCCTATTTGCTGAATATCCAACAAAGGCTGGACAACCATCTATTGTTAATTCTTTAAACTGGATTCCTACAGTGGTCAAATGATTATACTTAATGACTAAACAGCCCCTTCGAACTCAACAATTTTGTAATTGTTTTTCCTAAACAGAATATGATCAGGCATAGTTCCTTTGCAGTTGACATTGGGCAGGCAGAAATAATTTCTGCTCAACAAAGACAGGTCTCCAAGCTGCTCAGATGCATAAGCAAGGCAAAGTGGAAAGAATTATAGGTTCCAATGGCTTTTTGATTCCAGGAACTTTATCATATTTGATCACTGTGCATCTTAGGGTTCTGTTCAAGATGCAGGTTTGAGTGACAAATTCTTTTTGCATGAAAGGTGATGAGGAGAGGCAGAAATTGTTACCATGTCTTTCTTTCTATGCCACAGGACAATTTTTAATCTAGATGGATTTCCTGAAGTATTAAGATATTATATGCAATCTAATTAGTATTCTGAGATTCTCAACTATATTGAAATATTTTATACTTAATGTCATATATCATTTCTGATTTTCTAAAGGTTCTTGATAGCTTTTTCTTTCATTGTTCAGATTACTGGCTTGCAAGCGACTTTACAAAGCTTGGAATCTGGAAACAACATTCACATTCCAATGATGAAAGGTAAATATTTAGCTATGAACCAAAAGTAAAAGCTTAAGAGATAATGTTTGCTTCTCATGGTATTATGCACATTTCTAGAAATTTAATATTTCTCTACATGTTAAATTTATACACTATTTAAATAATCTACAATGTACACAGACTTAAATGGTCTAAAACTAATGCTGTTTTATACTACATTATGCAGAAAATCTCAATGAATAACTAGGGCATTGGGATCCCAGCATCTTTGTCTACATTTTTAGTAAAAGAAAAAAGAAAGAATTAATTAAATTGTTGAGAGCTGTGCCTGATTAGAGACCTGAACTCTATATCCATTAGACTATATCCATTAGACTATATCCATTAGACAATATCTCTTATTTCAAATCTGCTGAGTTACCTTCAAAAGATATTGTGTTTTTGCTATATTGGTCTTAAGAAGAATGCATCTGAATTGTAGACATCCATCAATATTTAATAGCTTTTGACATCCACAGTAATGCCCTATGGATTGGTTAATTATTCTTGATTTTTTTCCAGATTTCCAACAATTTAGATAAATGTATAGCTATAGTAGGATGACATCCTGATTTTTTACAGTAGTTCCATCCTTACATGAAATTCACATTAGAAATGTATTTTCCCCCTCATACCCAGTCTTTTTTTACTAAGTTGGAAAACTGCCTGTTGTAACCCAATAATCCAAATAATCCATGTAGCCATTTGGGTTATTGGATCTCTGCAGAATAAGTATAGATGAATCCCATTAAGGTGCAGTATGTTTTCATGTGGTAAACATCTAAAATGTGAAAAATGTACATTGTTCGGTGATTTACATTTTTTAATAAAAGACTCATCCATAATTTTGCAAAATGCACAAGACAGCTCAGTAAACTTCTGAAAAAAGGGAACCAATTTAACTGATACCCTAAAGAGCAAGCCATCTTTCAGGATTTGAAGGATTTCTTTTAATCTCAGCTGTTACTTAGACATCTGGATTCTAGTTGCTCCTTTGTTGTGCAAATTGATGCCTTGACCTTTATTTGGAACTGTTTTCCCGCAGGCTTTGGCAAAGAGAGGAAGGACCTCTTCTGCATTTTATTCTAATCTTTTCCCATCTGAAAGTAACAATAATTTCAACAGAGAATTGCTAGCTATAAAAGCAACATTGAATGATGGAGGCATTTCTTGGAGGGACCAATGAATAAATACACAAACTTTATTGGGAGTTTGGGAGCATTGCAGAAGTGTGAACCCTAACTTCACATCAGATCAGTTTCCTGATTTTCTTTTTATATCATCTATACTTCCTAGTTCTCCCAAAATTTGTCAGATGCACTCTCATACAATCTTGAATACAATATTTTAAGACAACCCCCTTTCTTGAAACTGACCAATTTTACCCCACCCCAGAAAGGACACTCCTGAGAAGACAGGGATGGGAAGACAGGCAATAGATCTTTTAAACTGGATTTGTTTGTAATAACAATTGGATCTATGTGTCAGGGCTCAGAAGAATGATCTCCATTGAACCCAAAACTAGTTCCTTCAATACAGCAAAAGTTCTGCAAGTAACTTCAGGAATGCACTTTGAAGCAGCTTGTGCAGCGAAAGCTGGGTGGTGGGGTTGAACTTAGACAGAAAAAAAACACAAATGCATAGGTGCAGAATAGGTGGTACCTGGCTCAACAGTAGTATGTGAGAGGGATCTAGGTGTACTAGAGCAGTGGTTCCCAACCTTTTTTTCGCCCTGCACCCCTAAAGAAATTTCACTCGAACCTCGCACCCACTGAAATTTATATTTTGCTCAAGGATAAATTATGCGAATTCTGAATAATATTTTATCAAAAAAAGATTGTTACTTTATTCTTTAATATAATTACCTGGACTTTTCTCGCACACCCTGGAATATCGTCTCGCACCCCAGGTTGGGAACCCCTGCACTAGAGGGTGGGGCTGTAATCAGTTTCTGGTTGAAGAAGTAGCCATTCTGGAGTTTCTTTTTCAAATGGACAATAAGTTGTGCTTTTCATTTCTTAATCATTTTTAAGGACTACATGTTTCCCTGACAATGAGACCTGTTCTTATATTTTTGGGTTTCCAAAATAAGCACAAGGGGGAATTTTGGGGGTAGGTTTTATTTTTGTTCATAGCTGCAACGGAGCAGGAGGCAAGGCGTGGAGGATAAAACGAGGCAGGGTAGAGGATGAAGCTTTTTCTTCTTATTCACCACCTCAATGAAGCAGGAGGCTGTGCAATGCATCGATGCCAAAGCCGCAAAGTGAAGCGGAGCTGTGCAGAGAAATGAGGCAGTAGGGGGTAGAGGATGAAGCTTCTTCTCTTGCTCGCTGCCACAACAGAGTAGAATGCTGAGTGCTGTATACAAGAAGAAAAAAATATTCTATGAGGGTAATTTGGAGGGAGTTATCTAAGTTAATTGGAATTAGTTGGTATTTTATTGATCTGAAAGTGAATTTTAAAGTATGTATGCTAAGAGGAAGTTAAAAAAAATAGGTATTAGAATATTTTAATTTTAGAAATTTTTTAAAGAAAGCTTAGTGTTTTAAAATGGATGAGAAATTTTTTTTTTCCTTTAAGGTTAAAAAATCTGAAAGAATACAGTAAATTTTGTTAATATAAATGGTGATAGTTTATAAGGATTATTAAGTGCAAATAGAAGTACATTATTTCAACAGCAAGGAAGATAAAACAGTAATGGTTAAATTGATTGTTCTATTCAAAGAGGAAAATATATTTATGTTTTTTTATTTGGATATCACTTCTGGATTTTGTGCTTTTGAGGAAAAATAATGAAACTTTGGCTTTGGTTTTGCTGATTAAATGGATATGTTGTTATAGAAATGGATAGTTATATACTAATGTGTAAAAGTAAACAGTTGAGGTTGTAATGTTGCTATCTTGTACTGTGCCAAAAAGAGTTAGAAGTCAACGCCTTTTCCTTTCTTTCCTTGTACTCTTATCTTCCCCCTTTCTTTTTCTCTTCCCTTAATTTCCTATTTTTATTTGTATTTTATACATTGATAAAGCAATAAAAGTTATAAATAAAAAAAATTATAGCCCAACCTACCAAAAACATAACTGTAAAAGACAGACTAGAAATAAAAATAAGCAAAAACATGGTAAGAGAATACCTGTCTGATGTTGATGAATATAAATCACTGGGACCTGGTGGATTACATCCCAGAATTTTGAAGGAGCTGGCAATGTTATCTCAGAACCATTGTACCATATCTTTAAAAATCCTGGAGTACTGGTGAAGTACTTGAGGATTGGAAAAAAACTGATGTGATTCCCATCTTCAAAAAAGGAAGGGGGGATAAAAACAGACCCAGGAAACTATAGACCAATCAGCCTAACATCAATAGCTGGGAAGATACTGGAAAAAAATAATAAAAACCAATCTGTGAACATTTAGAAACAAATAAGTTAATAACTACTAGTCAGCACAGGTTTGTTAAAAATAAATCATGCCAAACCATTACTTGACAAAATTATTTCATTACTTGACAAAATGACTACATTAGTAGATCAATCAACTACGTGGACATAGTATATTTAGACTTCAACAAGGCATTTGACAAAGTAGACTACAGCCTACTTCTTGGTAAGCTAGAAAAATGTGGGATAGACGGCAATACCACCAGGCAGATTTGTAACTGGCTGACAAACTGTACTCAACGAGTTGTCCTTAACGGTACTACATCTACATGGAGGGAAGTAAGCAGTGGGGTTCCACAAAGTTCCGACCTAGGGCCAGTACTCTTCAATATCTTCATAAATGACTTAGATAAGGGAATAGAAGGGGAAATCATATTTGCAGATGACACTAAGCTGGTGGGAACAATGGGCCCTATCCAACAACATGAAATTTAATGTGGAGAAAAGCAAGGTTTTACACTTAGGCAGGAAAAAGCAAAGGCATGAGTACTGAGCCGGCGAAACCTTGCTCAAAAACAGTAACTGTGGAAGGGAACTTGGAGTCCTAGTTGACGATCACTTAAACATGAGCCAGCAGTGTTGCGGCAGCAGGCAAAAAACTAATACAATGTTTTTGAGAAAACACTGGGTAGCCACTTATCTGAAATGGTATAAGGTCTCCTGCTTGAAAACGGGGTTGGACTAGAAGACCTCCAATGTCCTTTCCAGCTCTATTCTGATTGATTGATTGATTGATTGATGAGTTATATTCTATAATACATCTGGTGTAGATATTGCCATGTTGTATGTACCTACCCATAATATATTTTGAGGTGGTTCCACTATTATTAATACCCCCTTGCCTAATATTTCTTCTTTTTAAGCTTTCCTTTTATAGTTTTTAATAATGAGTATTGCTTTATTATTTATTAATTATCTGTTCTTTAGCTTTATTGTATGACACCCAGAGTCACTTGATTGTGAGATGGAGAACTACATAAAACTGACTAACAAACAACAAACAAACAAATGAATGAATAAATAACCAATCTCCTTTTTCCTAGTTTGGTACTGAAATCAAGGTTAGATTATGTTCTTTTTTTTTTTTTTTTAAAGTTTTATTGATTTTAACAACAAACCAAAAAACACATAAAACATAAAACATAACATAAAAACATCATCATCCTTCATAAATTTACAGACAGTGTATCGGTTGGTTTACCACTCCTTTTTGTGCATTCATTTCATAGTCATTATAATAATTATATTACATAATAACTCATATTATCAATCAACAATTATATATCCTAATATCATTATTAAACAATCATTTGACTATAATTTAACTAATTCATACTTAAGCGAGATAACTATAGTTTAGTTAATTTTTTTCCCAACAAATCATAAAATCATACCAAATCTATCTTAATAAAGTATTATAAAAGTATTATCAACCCCCCCCCAAAAAATGTATATTCATTATTTCCTAGATCTCTAAATATTTTATTATTATATTGTATTATCCAACCATTGATAAAAAAGATCCCAAACTTCATAAAATTGTTTATCTTCTTGTTCTCTAATTTCAAATGTCAATCTACTCATTTCTGCACATTCCAATATTTTCTTAATAACTTCTTCTTCTGAAGGTATTTTCTCATTCTTCCAATTTTTAGCAAATACAATCCTAGCCGCTGTTAATACATTTACAATCAAATACTTTAAGTTTTTATTATATGTATCAGGTAAGATTCCCAATAAAAAAATCTCTGGTTTCAAATCTATATGTTTCTTTGTCATTTTTTCCAACCATATGCGAATTCTAGTCTAATATTTTCTAGCATCCTCACAAGTCCACCACATATGGTAATATGAGCCAGGTATCTGTTGACATTTCCAGCACTTTTCAGATTTATTCTTGAACATTCTTGCTATTCTTGTCGGGGGAAAATGCCACCTGTAAAACATCTTATACAAATTTTCTTTATATGCTGTTGACATTGTCATTTTATAATTTTGAGACCACAATTTTTGCCATTTCTCTAAATTAATCCCATATCCAAAATTCTTCCCCCAAGCAATCATTGTTTCTTTAACCTGCTCTTCCTCTAATTTAATTTCCAACAAATAATTATATAATTTTTTAATCACTTTTTCATCAGTACCTGTCAAAATCCTATCTAAATCAGTCAATTTATCATAGAATCCTTCCATTTTGGAATCTTTAAGATACCTTGAATGTATTTGCGCATATGAAAACCAATTCATCTTTATGCCTTGTTCTTCTAAATTTTGCATCGTTTTAAGTTCACCCTTTTCATCTAATAATTCCCCATATCTAACTGTTTGTTCCTTCTTATAGGTTATAGGATAAGAAAAAGCTTCAATAGTTGATAACCAAACTGGGATTTTCAAATAACATTGTTTCTTAGTTTTCTCCCAATTCAACCATAACGATTCCCGTATATAATGCCTTCTAAAGTAACCCTGTGATTTAGTTCCCTTATACCATAAAAAAGCATGCCAACCCAATAATAAATCATGTCCTTCTAATGCCAACAATCTGGTCTTTCTTAACGTTATCCATTCTTTAGCCCACATTAAGTTTGCAGCTTGATAATACAACTCCCAATTAGGGAGGCCAAATCCTCCTCTAATTCTAGCATCCTGTAAAAGTTTTAATTTTATTCTCGCTTTCTTACCTTGCCATATATACTTCAACACAATTTTATTCAGTTCTTCAAAGTAATCCTTACCTAACCTAATTGGTATTGTTTGGAACAAATACAAAATTCTAGGTAAAATATTCATCTTAATTGTTGAAATTCTGCCTATCAATGACAATTGTAAGTTTTCCCATTTTTTCAAATCAGATGCTATCTGCTGTTTAAGTTTAATATAGTTATTATCTTTCAGTGTAGAACATCTTGACGTCAAATATATCCCCAAATATTTAACTTTGTTCGTAACTTGAATTTTCAATAAGTCTGCCAGCTCTTCTCTTTGTCTTAACAGCATGTTCTTTGTCAAAATCTTTGTTTTGTCTTTATTTATTTTCAAGCCAGCCATCTCACCATATATCTCTATCTTTTCCAATAGTTTTAAAGCTGTCTCTAGAGGGTCTTCCAAGATAAAAAACAAGTCATCGGCAAAGGCTTGCAATTTAAATTCCTCCTTTTTAACTTTCATTCCTTTTATGTTTGTATCCTCCCTAATATTTCTATTTAGCACTTCCAAAGTCAATATAAATAACAAAGGAGATAATGGGCATCCTTGTCTTGTACCTTTTTTAATATTAATAGAGTCTGTAAATTCTCCATCTATCATTACTTTTGCCGTTTGCTTATAATATATGGCTTCTATTGCTTGGATAAATTTTCTAGCAAAGCCCATCTGTTCCAATAATAATAACATAAATCTCCAATTCACGTTATCAAATGCCTTTTGCGCATCTAAAAATATCAAAGCCATTTGTTTTTCAGGATGCGACTCATAATATTCCAATGTGTCCAGGATTATCCTCATATTGTCTTTAATTTGTCTCTTTGGTAAAAATCCATTCTGATCAGAGTGAATAAAGTTGTTTAGTATTTTTTTAAGCCTCTCTGCCAAGATTGAAGCAAAGATTTTATAATCTGCATTCAATAAGGAAATAGGTCTATAGGTCTTTTGATGAAGGAAAAATTAAACAGTATTTACAAAATGCTAACCTACCTAAGATATCTGATGAAACAAGGTTAGATTATGTTCTGAATAATTGGATTTATAGTACCTATTTAGATCTCAATACAACTTAGATTTTTTATAATTTGATAGAAAAGAAATTATAATTTCTATTGTGGTTTACCATTCTGGGAATTAAAAAAACAACGTTCTGTCTAAATGGGCAGTAGAAAAACAAGTTCTTAAATAATTGAAATAATGTTCTTTCTGTTAAATTTCTATACTTCTCTGTAATAAATTGTTTGTGCCTTATAGTGGGTCATTGGTGTGATAGAGAGGCTGGATTAGAGGGACCTTCCCAAAGAGCACTTAGAGAAGCCAAGGAACAGAAAGTGCATTCTGCCGTTAATCCACATGATGCAGCCAAAGATCCAGGAAAACAGATGAGCAAGAAATATCCAAAGGTATTGATGTTCTTATTTATAAAATATAAATAAGTAAAATATAAATAAATAAATATAAATTTATTTTACAAATTTATAAGGCTACCGAATGAGTCCGAACAGGAAATAATAAATACAATCCAATAAAATTAAAGTAAAGAAAAAACCACCAAACACCATAAAAAGGTAACCATTAAAACGCACAGGATCCACCCACCCACTATAGCCCAAAGCCTAGGAAAAGAGGAGGTTTTCAGAGCTCTTTTAAACAATTGGAGCCAGATATCTCAGGAGTGGTGGTGGTAGTGGTATTCCAGTAATAGATTTAGAATTTGAGCTATATTATTTACGATAGTAGAATCACAATCTTGGAATTGGAATAAGCCATTTAGACTACTACATGATTACTGGCTGCAACTACCCACACAAATAGGTGTAGAATTACTAAATAAGTAGTATAGATATCTACAAATATTATACCAATAGGATTAACTATCTTTGAAGGTATAACACAGGGGTGTCATCACGGCAGTATCATGTGATGTATTGGGACTTTTTCCCCTTCGCTAAACTGGACGGGAGCAGGTGACACATCCGGCCTGCGGGCCACGAGTTTCACATCCCTGGTCTAACAGGACCAAGAGGAGTGCACTCCATCCATCTGAGATCAGATATATGCAGTCCAGGCAATATTTATTAAAAAAGCCTATTGGACCAAGGGAGAGCTTCTTCTACATCTTTTAAAATAAGCAGCCTAAAGCTTAAAGAAACACCAACAGTTTCCCTGATCAAGCTACTCATATACCACCTAGTGCCCTAAGAAACCAGGAAGGACATGGATCAAACCTATATGGAGGATCCTATTTTGCTCATTACAATGAATTGTATCCAACAGGAAAATATCTTTATTATTGGATGTGATTCAGTTCAACATTAGGCACACTAGTTTGTAACACAATTTCAGATAGCCTGAATATTTTAATAATTCCCTGTTAAAAGGTTTATGGGATGCTCAGATCCCACTGAATGGACTCAAGAACAGTCATACCATTAAATGAAATGAATGATGAAGAATGATGATGATGATGATCAACCCCTACCTGCTTATCCATCTTCACCACCCAATCTCTGAGATTCCTTTCAATTTTATGTGAAGTATAGTGATTAAGGTATTTAATTAGGAATAGAGAGGCCCAAGTTCTAACCTTTCCTCAGCCTTGGAAGCTCACTGGATGACTTTGGGCTCATCATTTGCTGTCAGCCCAGCCTGCCTCCCAGGATTGTTGTTGTATTCCTGAGTTTCTTACAGATATTACCTTGCTTCCCAGGATGTAAGAAATATTTCAGTCCTCTTTGTTTACACAATAGATAGAAACAATTTTCATTATCACACTCAATGGAAAATTGAATATTAATATAATTAACACGTATATGTCATCCCATTCTAAGACTCCGTTGAGTAGAGACAATCAACAAACCAAACAACAGTAGAAAGCACTTTTTATAAACCTATGAATAAATATGTCTTAAAATCTGAATGAATACCATTAATTAATTTTAATTTTTCTTACTCTATTTGATTGTAAGGATTCAGAATTTCCTGAAGGTATCCAAGTAAATCCATACCTTGCTTGTGCAAAAAAATGTGTGCGGCCATTGAAGTCTGGAATATATAAATTGAGCAACACATTGAAAGTACATGATTTGGCAGTGACCTGGTAGGAGTTCTTAAACATTTCTTAATGATTTCATTTTATTTAGCATTATAAATATATATTTGCTTATTATTGGTTCTCTTAACAGTCAATACAATGATTTATATACATGATTTTTATAACAATGTTACATTAAGCAAAGTAACCTTGAAAAAATTATGCCATCTGAAATCAATTTAAACAATAAAGCGGTATTCTTCCTTGCAGTTGAGAATATAGCAGGGGTGGGATTCTACTGGTTCGAGCCAGTTCGGGCAAACCGGATGTTAATTATACATCCGGTTTGGTGAACCGGTAGTTCCGAAGACCAGCTGGACGTGACATTGAGTTGGTCACGCTCACCCAGTCATGTGACCACCAAGCCACACCCACCCAGTCACATGACCACCACGCCATGCCCACAAATTAAGCCATGCCCACAGAACTGGTTGTTAAGAAATTTGAATCCCCCCCCTGGAATATAGAGGATGAATGTTGGAACATAGGTCTTGGAAATAGGAGCCCTTTTGCTTCTTTTGCCAAAGATTCTATATTCTTTAAAATGTAAAGCAGCTGTCTATCAATTATGACAATATTTGACATTTAATCACTCCTTATAAATTACAATTACTTTGTAATTTATCACAGCAGCTTTCTACAATTCAGATTAAGAGCAAGTTTAATAGAATTTTCTGCCTTTCTTTGTCTATTGACTCGCAATTTGTTTCTTAATGCCAGCAAAATCATTTGTATTTGAAGGAAAGAATAAAAAAATTAAGTGCTTGGGAGCTAGTACTGTGCATGTTGCTGGAATTTCTGAATGAAAGACAGGATGAAAATCTTGTAAACAATATAAATGTGAATTTAAAAGAAAAGGCCTACGTAATTTCATCATTTTATTATGTCAGCTTTTCACAACTATTTCATTTGGTCGCAGAACAACAATATGAAAGCAATGGCTGTCTTACCTGCCATTAAGGAATCCTAGGGGGAAAGGACAGTTGACTATATTAGCTATCAAAACTAGGCTAAACAGTAACTAGATTCTGTGGCAGTTGTTCTGATCAATCTGGTTGGTCTCAGTAATTTAGCAGTTTTTGTTATTTTTGTTCTTATGTTACTTTTGCTCTCTTCGGTATTCTATATATTTATTGTACTTTATTTTCTTGTTCCTTACTTTATATTCCTACAAAATGTAAGTCTCCCACATTCTCTTTTTGTGAAGTGGATGAATAAACCTGATAAACAAACCAATTCATTCATTGTTCACTCTTTTCTATCTCAGGACATATAATTTCATCTAAAGCTGTTTCTTCTGAATTTTTGTTTAATGTCCTCTTTATCAATTTTATCATAGCTGGACCAAAAACATGTTACCAAATTTGCATAATGCATTCATTCTGAAGCTTACTTTTTTTTCTAGGAAATGGTGATTATTGATCCATAAACCAAATTATTCAAATTAACATTCAAATGCATTTTGTAGAGTGTATGTATGTGTCTGTGTATGTATTTATGTATGTGTATATCTATATATATACTAATATCTATCTATCTATCTATCTATCTATCTATCTATCTATCTATCTATCTATCTGTGTGTGTGTGTGTGTGTGTGTGTGTGTGTGTGTATATATATATATATATATATATATATATATATATGCAGAACACAGCAAACTCCAAGACCAATAAACACAGACCAAGACTCCCAACCAATCAGGATGAAGAAAAAACCATTCTGACACAGCAGTAGGCTAGCCCCAAATTTAAAACTGAAACAACTGTAAAAGTCTGACTCACAGACGAACACAATACAGAAGCCTGATGATGGCAGATGAGATTCTGCCGAAACGTTGCTACAACTTTAAAAGCACAACTATAATGACGTGGGAAAATACCCAAACAAAGCTGAATAACTTGCATACATACATACATACATACATACATACATACATACATTTCTTTTGTATTGTTAACATCCCCAATTTCCTATTTTAAAAAAAACCTTTGGCTCTCTTGTCAGATATTGGTCGCCATCTTGGTGCGACTTAATTATTGCGGAAACGGGGGCTGGTGAAGCTTCTTGGGACTGAGCTAATCGGAGAATCTTCCACGCCAGACAACGTGTCTCATTTCAAATCCCCCAGACAAGTTTCCCCGGAGCCAGTGGATAGCTGGCAGGGACAAACAACGAGGGAGGAGAGAGAGACCAAGACTTGAGGAGAAGCGGAGAGAGATAAGAGCCTGGACGAGCTGTAATTTATGAGTGTGTGATTCGGACACTTACAGAGAGACTGATTCTAAGCCATTCAATGAGCTGTGACTGGTGGACAGTGTGATTTTAAGTTGCAGAGAAAGAGACGGAACTGACAGAGGGTGTGATTCTGAACGGCTGTGAATTATGGAGAACTGAGGTCCATTTAATGATCTGGAGTTACTACCAGATTTAGTTGGAAGTAAATGACAAATTGGATAAGTTAACCCAAGCCACGTGACTGTATTTTCTTCTACTACTCAACTTGAACAGCTTACGAAAGTTTTACACTATTTCAAAAACCCTTTGAGCATCGTATTACAGTCTTTTGTTTACAGAGTAATAGCAATCTACTATTACAAAGAGCAATAATTTCCTCTCAGTCAACAACAGCATTAACCCTTTCCTTGCAGACTCTTAATACTACCTCATTACTTTAATCAAACACTGATTAACTCATTACCTCAAAACTTACAACTTTTCTACCTCATCACCTATATCAACGGTTAGATAATCAATTTCTATAAAATATTTTATTAATGGTTCAATTGATTTATCGTCCTAATTGATTAGTGTGACTAGAGTGTTTAGTGCAAATAGTGTGATTACTGACTAGTTGAAAAGATCAAGATTCATGTAATTTAATTGAATAGTAAAATCAATGATTTAGTGAATTTAAATGAACAGTGTGATTAATGATTAGTGTAATTAATTGATTAGTGTTTAGAATATTTAATTGATTAGGCTGATTGTTGCCCAGAAATATTATCTGACTAGAGAGATTACTGCAATTGAGTGGTTGGTGTGATATTAGCTATATAGATTACCTAAAACTGTTTCTTTAATTAATTCAATCAACATACTATCTTACCATGCCAAAAAAAAAATCCAATGCCAAACCACAACCTAAAGAGAACATAATCCCCACCAATGATCCACAAGACTCCTGCACATGCCTTAAATGCTACAAAAATCTAAAGGATAATGAAAACTCCATCAAATGTTCTCTGTGTAAGAAATACACTCATCATGACTGCTTGGGATTAACCAAGCAATTTATTCAATACCTGGAATCATCCAATGAGTTTCCATATTACTGCAAATCATGCAAACCCAAACTGGATCTGTTGGAAAGAATTGATACCATTGAAACCATAGTAGCATCCCTGGACGCCGTAAAAGAAAGAATATCCAACCTTGAAAAAAAAGAAACAACGCAAAAACCTGAACTTCCAATAGCTACAAACCACATCTCTACCCAACAACCACAACCCAATCCAAAACCCAATCCACAAATAAACACAACCCAGACAAATATTGATATCCCTATCCTCATCAGAGAAGCTGTTGAGCGTGAACGGAAACGTCCAAACGCCATCTTATTTGGTCTAGAGGTCACCAATAACAATGATGACATCACAACTGTCCGAAACATCATCAGGGATTATCAAGCATCAACCATCTCCGCTGATGAAATACTTGACATTTCATGCATTGGCCGAGAGCTCAATAACAGTGACGGCTCTGTGGCCCCACGCCTGTGCAGAGTCATTTGCAAAAATGAATCAAGCAAACGTAAATTCATTTATACTATAAACTCACTCGCCAAAACCAACACCAACCATAAGAACCTCCATTGTTGCCCTGACCTAACCATACAGCAACGTGCCCGCTCCCGTGTACTCCGCATTGAACTCAAAAACTGTCTAGACAATGGAGAGAAGGACCTGTACATTGACTACCATGCTGACTGTATCAAAAGTAAGCCACGCAACCCAATACTCAGCTTTTACCCTCAACCACAACCCTACCTCAACCGATCCACCATCACCCAAGACTAGGCACGCACGCCCCCAACTACCTCAATTCCAACTACTGCCGGCCTTAAATGCAAACTACTCAATGCAAGAAGCCTCGTGAATAAAATACCTGAATTTCTCATCCTACTAAATATGGCTAACTTCGACATTATATTTGTCTGTGAAACATGGCTCAATGCATCTCTCCCCGACTCCATTACCACAGTAAGAGACTATCATGTTTACCGATCAGATCGTGAAAATCGTCGAGGAGGTGGTGTTGCTATCTTCTATAAAAAATCCTTACATCTAAAAAATATCCAAGTTACCCAGGAGCTTGCTCTTCCTGAGACCATCATCTGTGAACTATCCTTAAATATCACAATTCGATTCTTACTATGTTACAGAGCACCTGTTTATGACATCGAACATGTAAACAAGCTAAATACATTACTAACATGGGCTGCATCCTGCCCATACCCTTTTATCTTTCTTGGTGATTTCAATCTACCTCATATTGACTGGACCCTAAATGATTGTACAACTGAAATCATACACACAACCTTCTACAATGCTATTACAAATCTGGGACTGGAACAACTAGTAACCAACAACACTAGACTAAACAACTGCCTCGATCTCATCTTCTGCAATAGTTTGAATTTAATTTACGGAATACAAACTAAAGAACCCTTTTCCAGTAGTGGCCACAATATGATTGACTTTTGTCTCAACATACGTCCACACAAAAATCACCACAATGATGTAATCCCCAATTGTAACTTCAAAAAAGGCAACTATGATCTTATAGACAACGATCTCTCATCCCTTGATTGGCAATCTCTATTCACTGGATGCAATACTGTTGAAGACCATTACAACATATTTTTACTTGAAGTCAAAAGAGTCATCAAACTATATGTACCAACAACAACTCCCAAAACAAAACAAAAAAGCAGATTACCCAT